ATATATATTATAGGAAAACTCTTAAAAATTCCCATAGGAGATTTGAACAGTGTTTTACCTTGACGGTTTATTGAACGGAGCCACAATGGACGATGCGTGGTCTGTGGCGGTTTCCGCGTGTTTTGTGATCGCAACGGACCTAGTATGTCCATTGCGGTCTTTTAATTCACACCGTCCGATTTTTATCGGACGGTGCCGAGCCTATGGGCGAAAACACTGTTCATTTTCGCCCATAGGCGTTGCGTAGCGGCTTCCATATATGGGTGAAAATGAACAATGTTTTCACCCATAGGCTCGGCGCTGTCCGTTTTTTTCGGACGGCGTGGATTAAAGACCGTCACGGACATAGCATGTCCGGGGCGGTCTGTCATGGATATAGCATGTCCGTGACGAGATTTTTTCATGTAAAATTGACGCAAAAAATATACGGGGACCGCCATGGCTCCCGTAGGTCTATGGCAGTTTTTAAGTAAAATCGTTTCGTACATAGCATGTCCATGATGGGGGTGAAATACTGTAGAAATTCGCTTGTAGGTGTTTTTAAACCTTTTCCTATATATATATATATACACACACACACACACACACGCACATACACACACTGCAATTATCAGGTATTTAGACCATTTTGTTGTAATTTCATATTGCAATTAATAGGTATTTTGATTTTGTTGGATTTTTTCCCTTTCATGACCTTTGATAGACTTATCCATGTTGCATGCTTTAAGGATCCCAAACAATTTTTTTTCAAAAACAAAAAAAAGCACTGAACGATTAATTATCATTTTAGGTCTAACCATTTCAAGGGGCAATTTTCTTAAGGTGGGAAATGGGCCCGGCTAGCTGGTTAGAGTCTTGGCATGGCCAGTTGAAAGGGCCCGGCCCTGGCCCGCCCTTTAGATTTGATAGGGCCATACCGGGCCACAATCTGCAATGCTAGGCCCAGCCATAGAGGGCCTATATTCTGGCCTGGGCCTAGGCTTAGCTAGGCTTGGCCAGACTGCCCGGCCTATTTCCACCATTCCCTCCTTACGAGCTACTTTGAGGGGGCTGGCCCTCCATTATGGTTTCTCTAGTTCTTCTAACTTCTGCATGCCCCATTTTCCTTTTTTTTTTTTTGAATGTTAAATTTTGTATTAGTAAAGAGAGATGTACACATTGCAAAAAATGGCTACCCACATGTTGGGAACTTTTACAAAATCCACCCAACGGGTGTTGATCAACAAAAAAAATGCTATACAAGCATAAAAACCAAAAAACCATGGGGGATTATAAATGTGTGAGCGAGCTAGTTCTCTGCCTGGGTAGCGCCTTACTTAGCTAGATCGTCTGCTACTTGATTGTCCTGGCGCCAAATGCACCCAAGAGACCTGTGTATGCCTGATGTCAAAGATCTCATCAAAGACCGAAATGAGTTTCCATGGGGGTGGTGCCCCCCCCGGGGGCCCAAGTGATGACATTTTTGGAATCGCCTTCCATGATAAGGGAGGAACTCCAGGAAGGATTGAAGAGTTTGAGGCCTTCCAAAAGGGCAAGGGCCTTTGTGGTCTTTGAAGATTTCACCTACGCTTGCCGGGCCTGGGTTGCCAAGGGAGCAACTGTCGAAATTGAGCTTTATTCGGCTAGGTTCCGGAGGGCACCACATGGATGCGTGAGGGATACAATGAGGCTTGAAGTGATGAATAAATGCCAATTGAGGAGGAAATCCAAAGCCGGTAAAAGCTTGAATCTGCTGTGATTTGATGCCCAAAAAATCACGTTGGGCCTGATAGAGTTCCACAAGGCCCATGGGTGAGAGGATTGGCCTTGAAATATCCAGTGGCCCTGATAGAGTCCCACATGCCCCCATTTATCTATTTAGTAATTTTCTGATTTAATCTAACCTAATCTCTAACCTTAAGCTAACTCCAAACTATATCCCACTTATGTGGAAAGTCAACTATATCACCCCATCGAAATTATTTAATCAACCTAACACATTCCCTATTCAAATAAGATATTCAACCTAAATCTTTAGACAACCGGGAAATTAATTTCCAGCTCAAAAAAGAAGCGCCTAAATCTTTTGGATTATAGCACTTGTTTATCGTCTTTAATTCTATTTTCATTGCAAAAATGACGCTAAAGCTTCTTATTGTGCATTTTATTTTGGAAAAGTCTTATCCTTTGTATGTGTCACGAGTCCATGACTTAATTGTGCTCTCTTTGATCATTGTCACATTTTTCTGCAATCCCACTCTGTATTTCTACACTGCCATGACTAATGATGATTCTTCTGTATGTGAGATCTTCTTTCAGTTCTCTTGCCTCAATAGGTGTATTATTAACAGTTATTCTTCTACATCTAACAATGCATTTGATTTTCAACTTGTTAAATAAGCACTTAATTTTTTTTGTTGTACATCCTACATGAGCACTTGAAATAAAAACGTAGTGCCATACATTGATGCATATTTATTCTCAGTTGTATCTTTAAGTTGTTTTTGTTTAGATATTCACATACTCGCATTTATGGTCACATGCTCATATTTAACTAAACTTGTCTTTATCATCTCCAATCAGCTTGTTTTGCGACAAAAAAGTGTAATGCATTTAGCTGCATATCCTTTCATTAAATAACCAAGCATATAGAAGTGGATAGACTGCACTTAATTCGAGAAAAAGAGGCTATTATTTGATTCCTTCATTTGACCTCTATTCCTTGGGCCAAGCCTAAGGGAATCTATTACTATTCCCAAAGCTCCCTATTCTAAGCTATGTATGGAAAGTTATTCCTATTATTACTGCCTAACTTATTCTTAGTCACTAACCCAAGAATTGTGCAATGCCCCACCCATTATTTTTTTGTTGAGCTGCTGCGAGTTTTAGTCCAATCTTGGCAGCACTTTCATTTACTTCTGATGCAGATCTATTTTATTGAAAAAGAAGAAAAAAGAGTCAAAACCACTGATGTTAAATACCCCAAAATTAACTGAATTGTTACAATTAAAAGGAAATATATGTTGTATGCATCTTTATATGATTCCTGTTGAATATTTTAATACTTCAGTGTGAATGTAAATTCTAGCATTATATGCTCCCCTCAGTCTTTTAAGAAGGTGGAATATAGGACAATGTTAACTTATAAAGACCCCTTATAGTAATTGCTTTTCTTTTTTACTCTCTCTTTTGTTTCGTTTTGAAAGTTAGAGAAAGCTCTCTTTCCTTTGAACTCCATTTTGAGTTCATTACTTATTCAAAATTGTACCCATTGGCATTAAAGATGAAATGCTTACTAGTGATGCTGTGTGAAACTGGTGCCAGAAATCAAACCATTACAAGATAAGATATACACCGAGGTGAGAGGGAGAATAAAAGAAGATGATATTACTGTTCCTTCACGCAAAGGACCTTACTTCTATTACGATAGGACTTTGGAGGGAAAGGAGTATGTTCAGCATTGTAGACGTCATATTCCTGAGGGCGAGGGACCCGGCTCTGTGCATGAAGTAATGCCAACAGGACCTGATGCTCCTGAGGAGGAAATTATTTTAGATGAAAATGTTAGGTCTCAAGGACATGAATATTACAGACTTGAGGCATTTAAAGTATGGTTTATTCTTTTTCTCTCTAGTTGTTTATTCTCGAGACTTCAATAAGTTTTTTGTTGATTATTGCGGTGTTTATTTAAAGGTCTGTATCTTTCTCTCCAAGTCCATGCACACAAATCTCCTAGGAGGAGGAGGAGATGTTGAAGAAAAATGTGATGAGATGCCGGAGGGGATATTTTGTCCTGTTTTAATAAGATTGTCTGTGATCTGAAATAGAGGAGATTATTGAGAGGATGATAACTTGTGCACGAGAAATATATTGAGATCATAGTGATAATTGATTAAGAATTACTATCTCTATGTTAAAAAGGTTTCATTACCAACTCTTAAGGGTATCTCTTCTGATACAAAGAAAGTGGGAGGGATTTAAAAAGACTTTTTTCTCTCCATTTTAACATGATTAATTACAGAATGGGATAATGGGAAATTTTCAGATGGATAATTGTGCTACTCTTTTAAATAGGGGTGTGGTTTGCATAATGTTGCAACCTTAAACAATCAAATTAAGGCACGCTTCTAAATTTTATCATAAGATGTAATTTTGGTGCCAAAAATTCGTAGGATGGCTTGAAAGTCTATTTTTATCTCTAATTATGAATTTTTAAACTTCAGAAATGGTTCAAATCAAGTAGATCTATAAAAACACGATAAACTTGAAAATAGACAGTCTAGATAATGTGTTGCAAGATGCACTATTTTTGAGTCTCGAAATCTTTTTGTTTTTTTCATATCCTTGTATTTCTATGTCGAGATGATCAATTAGAGGGTTTTCCAACATCAAAACGACCTTTCCGATGGATTTGAGAGGTGCACCTTAATTCTACATTTTAAGGTTGCAACCTTAAATGAACTTTTCCCTTTAATAGAAACAAATTATGGGTACTAACGAGAAGTAACGAAGAATTACAAATCTCTTCTAATTTCATTATAAAATCCGTTTTTAAACATTCACGAAAAGTCAAAACTGTGGCTGCGGAGTGCATTGGCTGCATGCCATATACATACAGATTTTATATATTAAAACAGTGCAGCACCCCCCTGGCTGTTACTGCAAAATAACAGTGTTGAATAAAAGTCCTCTCTTACTGGTTTTAAATAATGGCTGTTATGTCTATTATATTGATAATGGATCCTGGCCATTATAATGCCAGAATGCCTATTTTAAATTGCACACATATGCACAAAATGCAAAATTTTGAATCGTTACTTCATTAAATTCTCTTACTGGCCCAAATCATGCAGATTAGCTCGAATAACAAGTTGATGGCATATGCAGAAGACACAAAAGGAGATGAAATCTATACAGTCAGTATCGCGGATATCGAGACTCAAAGTCCCATTGAGAAGCCCCTAACAGGCGTAACAGAGGCAATTGAGTGGGCCGGTGATGAGGCTCTTGTCTATGTCACTATGGATGAGATCCACAGACCAGACAAGGTAAGTCATGCTGTGTGCACTTGAAATCAGTTAAGCATCTGTTCTTAGTAACCAATGAAGGAAGACGAGAAGAAAGACAATAGGTTTCTTTAATCGATTTGTTATCTGGCTTCTGTGTATCTTAATCTTTATTGAAAGGTCTGCATTTCTTTGGATTCTATACCCTACTACTTTATTTTCTTAGTTTTCTTTTGACGATTTTCATGGCGCTCTCATTTGATTTTCATATCCACAGCTGTGTTCCATGTTCGCTGTCCAGTACTTATGCACTTTTGTCAGTCAATGAATAGGTACTTGATAGGCACAACAACATCTTTGAGATGCATTAAGTCATTTGTTTAATGAGTCAAAATCCATCACTTCGAGGGGTTCTCTTTGTGATGAATGACATACTTATTTTTAAGATTTAGTTCTGAGTTAATTTTTGTACTCATTCTGCGCAGGTATGGTTACACAAGATAGGGTCTAATCAATCAGAAGATTGCTGCCTCTATCATGAAAAGGATGATTTGTTCTCCCTTGATCTTCAAGCCTCTGAAAGCAAACGATACTTGTTTGTTGCATCCGAAAGTAAAACCACATGCTTTGTTTTTTACTTGGACATTTCAAACCAAGAGCAAGGGCTTGTCGTTTTAACACCTCGTGTTGAAGGAGTTGATACTGATGTAAGTCATCGAGGTGGTCATTTCTTTATTAAAAGGAGAAGTGATGAAGTGTTCAATTCAGAATTGCTTGTATGTACTCTGGACAATTTAACTGCTACCACTGTGTTGCTTCCTCATAGGGAAAGGTAACAACTCTCTCCGAGGAATATTAATGAACCTGATTATTATGGATTGCTTTTATATTGAGTCTGCTCCCTTTGCTTGCTCACTGGATTGTTTGTGCATATTACATCATAGGTTGGCATCATGTTGAACTTATCAGTTTTAGTCTTTTAAAAATGCTGAATTTTATGGCCTGAACTTTGATGAAGGGAGTGGTTCATTTTCCATGACTGAAGGCTTACTACAAATTTGTATGGTGGACAGTGTGAAACTAGATGATATGCAACTTTTTAGTGATCATCTTGTTGTCTATGAGCGTGAAAATGGTTTGTGTAAAGTAACAGTCTATGGCCTTCCTCCTGAGGGGCAAAAGATTGTAGGCCTTCAAACTGGGAGAGCAATCAACTTCATTGATCCTGCATATTCCGTGGGCCAGATAAAATCTCAATTTTCTTCACATATTTTGAGATTTGGTTATAGCTCATTGAGGACACCTTATTCTGTCTATGACCATGACATGAACACAAACACCACAGTTCTGAAGAAGGTTAATTCGGTAAGGAAATTTCGTAAATATTTCCACTTGCTCCTTTATTATTTGTTATTCCGTGAAGCATGAATTTAATTTGTTCACATTAGACTACAGTGCAACTTAGGCTTATCATCTCCTCAAATTTGTGATCTTACAATGTCTATTATTAATTTGATCATGGAAAAGTGTCGGTTTGACATCTCTCTATTCCAAATGTGAGTATGTTTATATCTGTGTGTATGTATGTGCGTATGTGTCCAATGTGCTTGTGCATGCACGGTGATTAATCCCTTCCCTATTGTGTGAGGGCTAGATTATTTTTTGTGGCAATAAGTAGTCACTTGAGGTGTCCATGGTTTTGAGCCAGTCTGAGTGAAGGATGTTTGGTTATATTCTTCCCCCTCCCCCCACCCACCCCCCCGCACAATTTTTGTTTGCTTCCCTGTTTGTACTTTCTGTTATACTAATAATTATTGCCATCTTTGATTAAGCAGTGAATATTATTCTGAAGATCATTTCGTAATCAAGTAAGCATCTCAGTACGAAGTATAAAATGATTTGCACATTATTATTTCTGGAAAGCTTATTGGAACTTATTGCTGATATGTTTGTTAAATTATGAAATCTGGGGGTTTCTCTTTCTTTTTCCATAAAGAAATTGTGTATTTCATATCTCAGTGAAATTGAAAGGAGTCGGCATTGTATGCATAGTAAACAGGAGGAATTTCATGTCTATTCGAAGAGTTTGTAGTCTTCTGTCTGTGACTATAATCATGATCTTAAATCAATATTGAAGAAAGTTTTTAGGGAATGACAGCATGATTCTCATCAACCCTAATCATGAACATATATGTTGGTACACATGCAATGACATGACTGTCCCTGTAAAAGACAGTACATATACATCATGTTTAATGAGAAGTGTTTACTCAACTACTCTTTCATCATGGACTATAGTTACAAGACTTTCTGCAAATATATTCTTACTGACAACATCAACAATGCTCCTTAAGTCGTACATCTAAATTACCAAGTTCTTGAGATTCCAGTTGTTTTTTGGTTTTCATAACTCATATTGATTTCAGTTAGTATTTTTTTCTTTGGTTAATCCTTTTGTGAGTCTCAGGTTTTGGGAGGTTTTGATGCGAAGCACTATGTAACTGAGAGGAAATGGGCAGTTGCTGAGGATGGAACACAAGTACCTATTTCAATAGTTTATAGAAAGAACCTGGTTAAGCTGGATGGGAGTGATCCAATGGTTCTTTATGGTTATGGCTCATACGAGGTACATCTGTATGATTAAGTTCAATGTTATGGATTGGCTCTATTCCTTAAGCTGGTAAATAAAGACATTTGTCTAGAAATCTAATTAGAGATCAAAGATCAAAGATCATCTTATACCCTACCGAGACTTCTGTAGTTATATTATTAGGCAGCTCACAAGATACAATCACTTTTATATTCAGAGGGTTTGCGCTACTTTTGAGATAAGAGTGCCTAAGTTGGCATGCAGTGGCTCACGTATATATTCTCATTTAATTGTGTGGGTCTTCTCAGTTGTTCCAAATAGAAATCTTAAACTTATTAAACCACATCAATTTTTTTTTTTAATTTGTTCAGTATTATTGTTTAAGATTTCCAAATAGAAATCTTAAACTTATTAAACCTCATCAAAAAAATTTGTTTAATTTGTTCAGTATGAAATCTTAATTTTGGTTAATTTTTTCAGTATTATTATTGTTTTTCTGATCTTTATTTGTTCTATGATTTTCATATCATATCCGCTAATTTTATTTTGTACAGGCCTGCGTGGATCCTTCTTTCAGTGCATCAAGATTGTCTTTGCTGGATCGGGGCTTTGTATATGCAAAAGCACATATTCGAGGAGGAGGAGAAATGGGGAGGAAGTGGTATGAAAATGGAAAACTCTTGAAGAAGAAAAACACTTTCACTGATTTTATTGCATGTGCAGAGTACTTAATAAAGATCAGATACTGTTCAAAAGAAAAGCTGTGCATTGATGGGAGGAGTGCTGGAGGGCTGCTTATTGGCTCTGTTCTAAATATGCGACCTGATTTGTTCAAGGCCGCAATGGCTGGAGTTCCATTTGTTGACGTAGTGACTACAATGTTGGATCCAACCATCCCTTTGACCACATCTGAATGGGAGGTATTTGGGAAATGCTTCCTACATATCCTTTTGGCTTGTTAATATATTGATTATAAGTTTGCAATCTTTGCTAAGATATCCTTGACTTTTAGCTAAATCTTCTTTGGGTGCTTGGTGCAGGAATGGGGTGACCCTCGGAAGGAGGAATTTTATTTCTATATGAAGTCTTACTCTCCAGTGGACAATGTGAGTGCATTTCTGATATTATTATCTATTGTTGTCCATCTATTCAGGCATTTTGATTGTTGCACTTAATTACCGGGTCCAATCTTTGTTGGGTGTGGTTTGCATACGGTTACAACCTTAAACTAAGTTGCACCTCCAAACTTTACGATGAGATGCAATTTTGATGTTGAAAATTCTAGCATGGTGCAAGAATCTTTATCCCTACTTGTAAAATTTTAAACTCCAGAAATGGTTTGGATCAATTGGATCTATAAACACATGAAAATCTTGAAAATAGACTGTCCAAATAATGTGTTGCAAGATATATAATTTTTAGGACTGGCAATCTCTTTTTTTCTCCATATATATAGATCTCAGTGTCGAGATGATCAATTAGATGTTTTTCCAATATTAAAATAACCTTTTTTGAAGACTTTAGTGGTGCACCTTAATTTTATATTTTAAGGTGTCAACCTTATATAATCTTTTTCCATCTTTGTTTGATTAAAATTTCCCTTAGTTTTGAGCAGACCAAGGCGTCAGATCTGGATGGACTACTTGTTTCTTTTTCGTGCTAATGGCATGGATCAATTTTGAATGTGCTGACTATTACCTTATACATGATGCTAGTTGTTTTAAATAATAAAAATTGAGTTGCATTTATTAATTGGCCAGTTCATTGTTCATTGGTGGGGAGGAATAAACCCTCAAGAAGAACTTCCCTTGAAGGATCCCAAGGGCAATGACAGAAAATGCTATCATTTTCTATCTTTAATTTCTGGTAACAATAGCATAGGAGACAATTGCAAGCTTTTTGGATAAGAAGGTGTTATTTTTGGTAAATCCTTATTGTAAAATAGTTTGTAGCGATAAATCCTGGCCCCTTGATCTTCATTACAGCAAATACTCTATTTAAGATTTAAAGAATTTAATTTCACAAATAGAGAAGAAATGCTTTATTCAAGAAGGACAAGCATGATTTTCTTTAGAGAAAGATTGCATGCATCATGCATGGATACTGAAGGAAAATGTAAGAGATTTGCAACATGGTTTTCTTGTTGAGAAACTTTCCTGCTTATTACAGGAAGGGTTCATTATGTGATTCACAGAAATATTGCTTCTTGTGATGGGCTGGTTTTGCCTTCTGTCCTGTATCCAACAAGATTTAACCAAATGTTATTGGGGGTCTGACAAATGGCCATTCTGTTTCAACTACATTATGGTCTTTCTTGTGATATGTATTAGAGAGTTCTGTTGTCTGCATCTGATGAGTGTCTATTTCTTTGCAGATTAAACCACAAGCTTACCCTAACATTCTCGTCACAGCTGGTCTAAATGGTATTCAATCCATTTTCAGATTTGGCGTTGTCAAATTTGGTCTTTAGCTCTTCTTTTTTCATTAGCTCTTTTTTCCATAAATCATTATAGTGGAAATAAAAATAAGGGAAAATATATTCACCACTCGTATTTGGTATGTGGATCACCACTCTTATTTGGTATGTGGACACCATCAGATCATTCAAGGTTTGTTCGTGATGATGGATGTTATACATACCTTAGTTCCCAATGATGGACATTTGTCGTGTTACAGTTAATATCCACCGTCCATCAATGGAAACAGATGGTGGATGTACCCGTGTTTTATGGTGTACTATAGTCCATAGACCATGTTATATGGAAAGCTTTCCCTATACATCAAAAGCGAAAAGTAAAGGGGTTTTTTCTGCTGTGTTTTACTTCTAGACCCACGGGTTTTGTATTCTGAACCCGCTAAGTTCGTGGCGAAGCTGAGGGACTTAAAGACGGACAAAAACTTTCTGCTGTTTAAGTGTGAAATGGGTGCAGGGCACTTCTCAAAATCTGGAAGGTAGATGATTCCCTATCTCCCTATCTCCATTTTCTTTGTTTGTTACCTAGCAGCAAAAGGTAGTGAAGGAACACTTAGTACATGCATTTGTTATTTGTTAATGGAATAAAATATTATCTTTTGAGAGGAAAATATGAGAGATATTTTCTAAGCTCTGCTTGAAAACTTTTTGAAGTATTCTAGAAAGAAAAATAAAATGAAAATTCGAAATGAAAATGGCCATTGGTCTCTTTTCTGGAAATTAGAAGAAAGTAGATGGAATCCACACACAAACACAAAAAAAAATACAAATACACTTCACTCTCTATCTAGGCACTTGTTTCAAATTGGGTGATTGATGAAATGTCGCAAACTCTCTCTCTCTCTGATACACGACCACTCCATTGCCATGTGTTTATGTGTATACATGGTGCTACTAAAGAAAGAGCAGACTCTCATTTTCTGTTGTTTACATGGTAGGACAGCACATTATTTTCGCAGAGGATCTCATAACTCTCTGTCTCTCACTATATCTATCTATCTATCTATTGAGCCACGACCAACCCATCACCCATGCCTATGTGCACACATGGTACTACTGTAGAAAGAGTAGCATGTTAGCTTTGTGTCTATCTATTGAGCCACGACCAACCCATCACCCATGTCTATGTGCACACATGGTACTACTGTAGAAAGAGTAGCATGTTAGCTTTGTTTACACAGTAGGGCCATTACATTATTTTCACAAAGAAGCTCTCTCTCTCTCTCTCGCTAGATTGTTTTTTTTGTTGACTTTGTAGGGCAATTCCATTATTTTTAGAGGCGCTGATGATTGTCCTTTTTTGCAGATTTGAAAGGTTGGAGGAAGATGCCTTCCAATATGCATTTATTCTCAAGGCATTGGAAATGGTTCCACCCAATGGTTCTCTCATTTAAATACGCACCCTTTTTCATGTTTAAGAAACAATAATGATTATTCGTTCCATTTTAAAGTTGAGAAGGCCTATTTATTCCAGTGGAACATTTATAATATGGCCTTGCAAGGGCATTCATATGAAATTCATATCATGTTTCCTTGAGCAATTAGATTTTGGCTTTGTTGTAGTACATTAAATATCCATGCCTAAGGCATATTATAAATAGGAAAAGTATGCAATAAAACCATGTATTTTGGTGCAAAGGGGTCTATTATTTAAATTTGAAATGGGTAGCTGGGGATGAGTTATTGACCGGTTCAAATACAACGTTTTTGAACTTTGTGACACGTCATGTTGGATGTGACATTTGGCAATGGAATGATTATGACCTTGTTATATATCTTATGGGATTGTCTATAAAGAGACTATTTATCTTTTGTACATAGAGGTCAACTATTCGGATGTCAAATTGGATGGCTTGATGTGAGTCACAAAGTTTGAGATTTTTTTTTTTTCTTTTTGACTTTTGTGTCTATTCAATGACACTTTTATAACCACCCATTTTGAAATTTAAGGAACAAAAATGATTGTGACCTTTATATATCAAAAATAAATGGCTTTTTTGTAAACAATCCTTTATTTTATCTAAGTGTTTCTTTGAGATATCTTGGCATAGTTTTAGAGTGTCAAAGGTGGAAAACATGTTGGCTATGGGTAGGCTCAAGTAACATGGAACCTGTTCGGGTAACCGGCTAGGTCTCGGTCGGGCTAAAATGGGTTAAAAGTTGTTAAAAAGTCTTTGAAATTACGAAAATTATGTTTGAAGTATAATTAAATAAAAAAACAACTAGATGGGATTAAAAAAATAGTGAAAAAATAGATTTTGAAAATATCAATTTTTGCCCAAGGGTATTTTAGAAAAATCTAAGAAAAGAGAAAAATGCAAAAATAAGCATCTATGGTGAAAATACGTCCCAATATTTTTTAAAACAATAAAAATATCAAAAAACCTATTACAAACAAATTTCCTATTTTTTTGGATTTTTATAGTTTTTTTTTAATCTTTTTAAAAGTTCTTGGCTTGACAATTAGGGGTGGCAGCGGGTCGAGTTTGTTTGGACCCAGACTCGAATTGATTCAGGTTCAGGTTTTGGGTCTAGACTCGACCTGTGGGGTTCAAAAATTGGACCCATACTTGTACCCGTTGGGTCTCGGGTCTACGTCATCGGGTCTTGAGTCCACTGTCATCTTCACTATGAGCTACTTTTTTCTTTCTTTTTTTTTTGCTCTTTTTTTCTTACCATCATACACTCATATTATTGACAACAAGGTCATAATCACCCGCTTTTAGATTTCAAGCCATGTGATTAGTCATTAATAGCTAAAGATAACCATCAGTTCCAATTATATACTATCCTTAATGCACTCAAATGAATAGCGCTTAAAGTAAAATATCTTATCTCTAACAGTTTACGGGTACGGGTCGGGCCAACTAGACCGGACCCTATATAGTGTTCGGGCCCAAATGCTAGACCCATATCTAACTTGTGTTGAGTATACTTGGCAGGTCCCAATTCGAGTCCGAAGCCATTGCCACCCCTATTGACCACCTTAACTGGCCAAAACCGGCTATGGTCAGTAGCCGGTTTTAGTAACCCAAATGGGTTCAAGTCGACCCACCTGGTTTTGCCAACACTGGTCAACAAAGAGACCAAATTGCTCATACAAAAATTTTAGGGGTATTCTAATCATTTTATCTTTTAGTAATTATTTTTTTGATATATTTTTTTTATTATTCAAGATGGTTAGATGTACATAATCCCTAAATTTCATTGAAATATGATTTACAAAAAAAATTAAAATTAAAAACTAGTGGAAATCATGGTTGTCTGTGGAACTTTTGATAGCGATGAGCTATGAGTGGAGTATGGCAGAAATTCACTCACGAGAGCATTGAAGTGCTATTCCATCTACTCTCTCAAGTAAAACCCAATTTGGAAGTACTTGAGGACTCTAAAATTTGAAGATGTTAACTCTTCAACATTCCTAGGTACCTCTGGGTCATTCCCAAACAAATTTGTGTGAAAACCCACCATGGTGTTTCTCAGTGAGAATGACCTTGTCACACCTGATTCAAAATGAACAATGTCATCACATGCTCTACGATCCTCATGCTCCTTCTCAAGACAGTTAACAGCAAACTGAAATACACGTGCACTTTGATATTGTCTAGAACCATCCTTTAGATCCCCATCAAATGTCTTACTATTAAAAGTGATATTCACCCATTCATTTTCTAATTCCTCAAAGATACTAACCTCAAAATGCGTGTGTAATTTTTTTCCTAATTTCAAGAGCTTTACATTCATCAATTTCATTGGAAAATAAAAGTATAACAAAGGCTAGCTTAAATGTCAGTAAAGAATTGGCTGCTTGAATAGCTGAATGCAAACGTGATCTTAGTCCCTTACTCCTATGAGAATATGGCCATGAAATATATTTTGACGATGAACCAAACTGGGTTTCCATGATAAGTGCATATGGATATAATATGGACTCCTTTTGGATGGGTCTTGAAATTTTTTCCCATGTAAGGATGACATCGGCCTGGATTTGCATACAAGTGTAATGTTGTTTATAAATGGTGCTGAAGAATGTACACAATACTCTAAATGGTGCTGAAGAATGTACACAATACGCTCAAGGTAGCCAATGTTAGCACTGCACGTAGAGCAAACAGCTGAAATTTAGACCAACAAATTCAAGATGAGTAATTGTGCAAAAGTGAAGTTGACCATCACTATTAACTCATTCAAGTATTAACCAAGTCAGTAAGGCCAATAAACAAGACTGTTTCAGGAAATTAATAATGATTTTGTTTTAAAAATTTAATGAAGAAAAATGGTTTAATAGGGATGCTGCTGTGTCAAAATAAGTAAAGCTTCACCTCATAACTCATCAAAAATCATAATTTTAGCATTGGATAACCTTTGCATGGATCATCTCAACTTGAACATTGTGGTTGTGAAATAAAAATTAGGATTTCAAACCATAAAAAAAAAATGTATATTGTAACAAATTATCTAGACCGTCCATTTTGTCTTAAAAATAAGTGTTCATAGATCTGTAAGATCTATGCATTTTTTTATTTTCTACTTTTATTGTCAGTATTGGAAATTAAATTTGTAGCCATCGTGGAAGTTTTTTTTGCCCAAAATACCTTCTGGACGAGGATTTGATGTGAAGCTTTATTTTGTTTTCATAAAACCTAGGCTTTATAGAAACTTCATCGATAATAAATGATGCTTTTGCATGGTGATTTCTTTATCATGACAGTTACTGGTAAACAGAATGATGTAAGTTCTTATGCAATCCATGTGTACCCACACACGTGCGTGGGAGAAAGAGGGTAGTTTAAGGAAGTGAATATTCAACTGAGGTAAAAGTTTGATCAGAGAATTAAAGAAGTCCTTTGTGGGGTGAAGTCATAAAAAAGACCTTTGTGGGGTGAAGTCATAAAAAAGATAAAACCAGATTACTCAAACAACAACCCGTTCAGTTCTCGATGTTCCAAGATGTAGGTTCTCATAATCAAGAGCAAATGCACATGAATCAAAGCAGGGATATTCATCATATGAAAAATGTAACCGCAACGGCCAGGATCATGATCAGGATTTTTTCATTTTCATCTGACCTCCGAAGCATTGCAATCCACCCCACTATGGATTAGTTTATTTCTTAAATGTTTAAAGATTTTTTCTTTTTCATGTGTCCTCAGAAGCATTACAATGGATTAGTTTATTACTTAATAACATTTATTGGCAAAAAGGCCCATGTGTCGCGATGATATCTCGATAAATCGAGAGCTCATACTACATTTAAAAATGATGGCACAGTTGAATCATTAAAACCCCCTTTAAGCAACACGAAGGCTTCTCTTACTGGAAAAAAAAAAAACAGTGGATTTAAAAGAAATGCAAATATATTGCAATACAAATCGTCCTGATAATAGTTAGCAGACTAACATCCTGATAATTTGTCTCTAGGTTTTCTTTATTCATTTTCTATGATGTGTTCTTTGGACAAAAATGATATAAACCCAGTATCTATGCTTGTTACTAAGGTTTCACAAAAAAATTGATTAATTTAAGCCTTGCATTACCCATTCACCTCTCCATCTGAATTTTGCCTGTAAATATTTCAGTGATTTTTTATATCAAATGCAGCAAATTAACACGAAAAGAAATAAAAAATAACAAAATACAGCAGTAAAATATGAACAGCTCAATTTGATCAGTAATTTTCAATATTAAAAGGATTATCTATTCCCATAAAGTAACCAAATTATAGCAATAATCACATTCAAAAAATAAAAAAAGCAAATTATAGCAATGAACTATAGCAATTTTGTGTCAAGAATTACAGTGTGTTTTGAACTCTGGTTGCGAACATTTTGTTTCGGTTTTATATCGCTTTAATTTGGAAAGAGTTTATAAAAGGGATCGGATAAAATGAGTATTTATTTTTGGTATATGGAGGTCAGTATTTTCCTAGTCTTTAGATATCAAATTGGATGGCTTGTGATACATCATAAAGCTTGGAAAAAAATAATAATTGAACTTTGAATCAAGTGAATGACACTCTTATAACTAACCGATTTGAAATATGACGGACAAGAATGATTGTGACTTCCTCGCGTTAAATGTAAATAATATATTTTTATACTTTTCGGACATGGTTTTTGTGAGTCTTATGATTCCAAAGACTCATATCCGGATGAGGTTATAAGTCTTTATATATTTTCTCACTACTTTCAACTATGACTTTTTGGACATACTCCTTGCTTTTTTGAGTCCTCTACTTCAATCAACTCACACTTCCTAAGTGGTGTTGTCTATTGGAGTCATACCTAAGTTCTCTTGATTGTAGCCTTTCGAATTTTATGCCTTCTTGTTTTGCCGCTCATCCATCTCAACATCCTCATCTCAGCTACACTCGTCATATGGGTATATTATTTCTTGACCGCCTAACAATCCACTCACCCACTCAGCTCCAATTTTATGTGACATCTTCAATCTCTCCATTTTTATTATAATATATAAAAAAATTAAAATTAAAAAAAAACAATTTTTTATACAATTTTTAAATAATTGATTTTACTTTTTTCTTTTTTTTAAGGGAGCCATTTTAAAGATGAATTTGTGCTTGGAACACTCTCATTATATTTATGCGATGGAACTAAAAAATTCACTAAAAGATGTTC